AACGCCACAGGTACTCTGCAAAACGTTTGAAGAAACCAGATCCAAAATCAAACTTGCAAACAAAAGGACAATACATAGACATTAAGTGGTCAGTAAACAGACAATAAGTTTTAATGATAGTTCAATAGCAGGCAATACATAGACACTAAGTAGTCATTAAACAGACAATAAATTTTGATAATAGCTCAATAGCAGAGCAGGTCACGTTAAAACAGTAAGTGAAGGGTAAAATTGGAAGTTTAAAATACAGTTTTCAAAAATAGAACTACATGACTCTTACGCAAGAAAAAAATGTACGTAGGTACTATTTTTATAAAAATGCTATTGATTGAGTCCTGCTAGAAGCAATTTTCTCATAACATCATCTTAAGTGGACTATCAAAAAAACAAAAATTGGCAACTTTTTAAAATACGGATGCTTTAAAGTTGTTGGCCCCAAGTGTTTGATCCAATCCAATGAGAAAATGACATGCCCAAGATCTTGTATTTATTCCGATCTACCATCTCTCTCTACCGCTCATCTCTCGCCCAGAGCTATATCCTATGCTCTCTCCTCTTCCCCTTAGGTCGGACGCAGCCTACACCACCCCGTTCGTCTAATATCCCGAGGTTAGTCCATTATTACTGTCTTTTTATATCTTATCAGCACTGAATAGATCAAGCTTAGAAGGTGTTGTTTAGCTTCCTTCTTTATCTGTTATTCCAGTTAAACGATGAATAATTTTCTAAATTAAGGAGTTGTGATAAGCAGTAAATCCCTGTAATCTAATGATTAACCAATTCGCCGGCAGTGTGCCTTAGTACGGAGGAGAGCCAAAATTCTGCAGATTAAATGTGAGCACGTGTTATGGAATAATGGTAGGGATGGAGAAATAAAAAGAAGCAATTTGAGGTGGTTGGGAATAATGGCGTTTGTTGATTAGATACCAATATGAGAGTTATGGCCAAATCTGTTCTGCAAAAGTGACTGCCTGATTTCTGGGTCATGGCTTGTTGTATGGTACAACAGTAAAGGTTCCTTTTTATGGAAAATGGGATCTCCTTTTTAAATCTTAAACTACCCTAAAATAACCTTTTTTAATAGGGAGTATTAAACTCCCCAAAATTAATTTGCCCCTTAATTTTATTCCCACTTTTCTTTTTAAGTTATTCTAAAATATATGTATAGGTTCTTTTTCTATTTTTAGAAACCAAAATCTTAACATTTTACTTTTTTTAATAACATTACAACTCTAAACACAAATATTTGGGGCCTCAGCGCCTGGGTGGTACTTAGGATGTTTTTACTTGGACTGTAATTTGATGGTCTGGTCTGGTCTGAACTGGTCTGGTCTAGTCTGGTAAGGTCTGGTTTCTTTGTATTTTTATAACTATCCAAGTCTGGTCTGAACTGGTCTGGTCTGGTCTGGGACAAATTACAGTCCAAGTAAAAACATCCTTAGTTTTTCCGCATTTTCTAATCAATATTACTCCGTATCATTCATAGTGAAATTGCATTTTTATGTTAATTTAAAAATGTTCTCTTAAACCAAGCACTTTGTGGTTCAATGACATCACTATGATACTCCCAAGGAGGAGGTCACAGGTTCAAAACTCATCTCAGTCAAGGATGCTGACATTTAACAATGAAGTATTGAACAGATACTATAAAGAGAGACTACAAAGTCTAGCAAAAAAATACTCTTAAAATTAAATTAGTTATTTTTTCTACTCTTCTATATAATTTTGGTGTAGTTTTTTAATATGTTAGATGATTTATTTTATTAAATTAACTATTATCAAAATAAAGTATAAATATCTTCATCTTGTGAGACTGAGCTGTGTGGTTGCACTAATAGAACACATAAAATATGATAGATAGATAACTGTAAATCTGTAATTATATCTCCAATTGTTAAAACAAATACGTAGTATGAGTTAAATTAGGAAAGACCAATTCAACAAAAAAATAAGGAAAAAATGAAACAAAGTAATTAAAATTATATTTATATACTACAAGCTTAAATAGTGTGTATAAGATAATGCACTTGTCTCCAATAGTCTAATGTGTAGTACAAATCAGCTTTAAACTATTCAAGAACCTTATCATGCTTTTGGTTCTATCCTTTCAGCTAAATGCCACAATGATGTTGGACTTTTCTTACCTATAAAAATCCACCCTCACCCTATCCCAAAGTTACCTCTGTTTTTTTATTTGTCCATTATCTTTGGAAGATTGATTCAAAATTCTTTGGTGTAGGATTGGCTTTGAGCTGCCAAGAAATGGATGGGGATGCATTTTCTGGGGCACAGATAGATGGGAGGGTATTGCAGACATTTCAGAAAAGTTTTGTGCAAGTTCAAAATATTTTGGATCATAATAGGCTGCTGATTAGTGAGATTAATCAGAATCATGAGTCCAAAAGCCCGGATAATTTGACCCGAAATGTCGGTCTGATTAAGGAACTAAACAACAACATCAGAAAGGTTGTCGATCTCTACGCTGATCTATCGACCTCCTTCTCTATATCCATGGATGCTTCTTCCGAAGGCGACTCTAGCGGTCACAAGAGGCACAGGCCTTATTAGAATGGCAACTTGGCAAGACTTAATTTTTATGGGAAAAGAAATCATAGATATATTGTAGTAAGATTAATTCTTTTTCCTAATTAATGTAACTGCTACAAATAATTCTTCAGAAAAAGGAAAAAACTCTGCTGTTGTTAATGTGTATGCAGATGTATGTGCTTGGAGGAAGAATGTTTGTAACTTTGTATCTCCTGATCTCCTGTTCTAGTTGTTCTTATGATGGACGATTAATTGCATTTAGTGTAATTTCTGAGGCTATTAAAATTGGAATAATGTGCAATTTGTCAATGCATTAATTGGTAATCTTAGTTTTCTCATGAATCTCATCTAAGCATACAGCAATATGTTGACTATTGTAAAAATGTCTTTCTGTCCCTTTAATAATAGTTTTTTGGTTAAAGGGTCAAATAGACCCTTGAACTGACTTAAAGTGTTCAATTAGCCTCTTATATAGGAGGTTCTTCCCGGCCGTCGCTAATTGGGGCGGTTCCCGGTGGAATTTTTTAATGAAATTTTTTGAGCACCTTCTTCGTTAAGTCTAGTTTACCCATACCAAATTGCAGCTAAAAATTCAACCGGGAAGGCAGTCAAATGATTTTCCGAAATGTACTGCGCTGTTTAACTTCGCAGTTATCTTCAAAAAATCTTTTGACTGCCTTCCCGATTGAATTTTTAGCTGAAATTTGGTATGAGTAAACTAGATTTAATGAAGAAGATGCTAAAAAAGTTTCATCAAAAAATTCCACCGGGAACCCGACCAATTGGCGATGGCCGGGAAAAACCTTCTATATAAGGGGCTAATTGAACACTTTAAGTCAGTTCAAGGGCCTATTTGACCCTTTAGCCTAGTTTTTTTAATATTTGTTTTAAATTTCCCTCATTGTCATAAGACATTCCTTTTTTAATTGCAACAATCAACTTTGCACATTTACCAACACACGTCTCCGATCGTCAATATATTCCACTCTGTTTTAGTAGAAAAAAAATAAAAAAATAGATTTTGAAAATTTGTAATGAGACGAATTGAACAATATTTAAAAAAAATATTTAAAATTATTAAATAAAATGTATTCAAAATAGAATATGTGAATAGCGTAAAATTTTTGTATTAGTGGAGTTCTTGCTTCCATCTGATTTTAATTTTTTTTAGTAGAAGCTCTTTTGTGCCCTTTTCGCTTTTCAAAATTCTTACTCCTTCTAAAAGAGATTCTCGCTATCCCTTCAATTTAAGGAAGTGAGGGGGATCACTAGTATTCTAGTAATGCAGAAAAGAAAACCTTTTTAATTTAAAAGCTTAACTTCGTAATATAGAAAAGCTTTTTAAAGCTTCTATTTAATTGAAGAATTTTACCATTTATGGACGTATTAGACTATTAGACATTTGGACGGGAGATCAATAGATGCTATGAGCCATATTAGAAACTAGAATGTGCTTAGATTTTAAATATCTAGTACTCCGTATTTATTATGTGGGTTAGTGTGGGTACTGGGTAGGAAGGGAATTAGAGAGAAGTGTGACTCAAATTATTTTAATGGGTTCTGGACTTCTGGGTATTACTTACAAAAGAAACAAAGGTGAATAAAAGAATTTTCATATGGTTTCCACTTTCAAAGAGATTTCACTATTTCAGAAAGGAAAAAATGTTGCCAAAAAGTTTGTGGGCATCTTAAGATTACGTTTCAAACAGACCACATGATCAGAATCTTGGGAGTGTGGTTCTTTATCTCATTCCATTTTTTCATTTTTTTTATATTCCGATTGGTTTTTAATGATGTAGTCTTTGAACATCAACCATCATTCAAAATCCCTAAACCGTTAAATCTAGTTTTAATCAAATCTGTAATGAGGTTGCTTCTTCCATCACACGAACGTTTTACCTTTATTATTACTCCCTCCGTCCCTGAAAATACTTTCAACTTTCCCTTTTCATCCGTCCCAAAAAGAACTTCACTTTCCTTTTTTGGCAAAGAATTTGTGGTTCACAGCATTTCTCTCTCCTCTGCACAACTTTCCACCACACAATTCTCACTTTCTTAATCCGCGTGCCACTTTATTTTGGAAGTAAATTCAGGGACGGAGGTAGTATCTTTTACCTCCTTAGCAAAATCATTGTCAACAAGACCTTTGCGATTTCTCTTGGTGAGAATCAAACTCGATTTCCCACGAATGGGAGATTTGGGGTGGGTGGCTAGCCAAGTGAGCCGCCACCTTGCCCAAAATATCCCTCATTCCTTTTTTAGATGTCGGGGCTTACACTCCAATTATCCTGGAGTCTATGAACTACTTTTCAAAACTCATAGTCAATTAAATGTGCATTCGATTAAAGTCATCTTTTGTTGGTACTGGCTTTAAAGCACGATTTTAGTTGGACTTACATCACCTGCTTTCAAGTTGATGCTCTTACCATTTATTCTCCGCCGACCTGTAAATGTGGGTTACATTTTTTTGAACGAGAGTTACAACACCCTACTAGTGAAACACAAAAAAATCATTGACCATCTGCGTGTAGTGTTCATGCGTGCTTTATCCTTGGAAGCATGGTGCTCATAATGCACCCAGGTATCACGGTATACGAACTCTAAAGTATCACGCCATGTCTGACTCGTCATTATTTATTTATTTCAATTTTCAACTAACTTAGAAAATAGCGGTAGAGGACTGTACTTAATATAAAACATTGAAGACTTTCATTCAGTTGAAATCAATATCTACATTTGCAACTAATAATTTCTTTAAAAGTCAATATGATTAAAATAATGACTTTTTAAGAACGATTGACTTATACCTTCATCCAAAAAAAAAAGAACGATTGACTTATACCCCGTATTCAGTTTTTAATGATCTATATTTATATTTATTATTACTATACGTTTTGAATACACGAACTTTAAAAGACATTTCTAATAACTCCAAAACCGAAGACATCTCTAAACTCTAAAGATATATAGGCGTATTTTTACGAATATATCTATGGGTAAAAAAGCACACATAGACCATGACTCCAAGCCAAGTACCTTCTAGTCTGATGGCATCATTGTGGCACTCTTAAGGAGGAGGTCATAGGTTCGAATCTCATCCCAGTTTAAAGATGTTGGGCTTAATATAGAACAGATATTATAATAGGTTAGAAAGAATTTCGCCAAAAAAAGACAATAACTCCAAAAACGAAGACATTTCTAGATATATATAGGCGGATTTTTAAGAGTATCTAACTCGGGGAAACTACGACAAAACGCCCACGTAGAAAATAAAGTTCATGAAAATAAAAGTATTAGGGAGTTCGAATGCCAAAAATAGTTTCTTATCATGTTGACTAGTGCCGAGCATAATCCCGTCTAGACCGAAAAACTAGACCGCACTGATCAGTCCAGATCGAACCCGATTAGTTACATATCGGTCCACACATTAGTCCAAGTTTTTTTTTTTGGATTCTTGCCCGTGTTTTGGTCTAAGGAATTTTGCATTCTAGCTTGGGCTTTGTTTCGAGGATTTTTGCAATTCCAGTCTAATCTGATCCAAAAGTCATAATATTCTGGTCCCGACTGCTTAGACCAGAGTTTAAATATTACTACCGCCGTCTGACCATCTCACTAACATTAGAACATGAAGATGTAGTGCAATTATTAAGAAGAGTGAGTTTATGTCATTGATATCGAATTAATATAGTAAGAATAAAATAAAAATGATTTAAAGCACACAAATTTTACTAAATTTGGTATGCAACAATCTTAACGGGATGGACCAAACTAAAGGAGAGATGAGACCATCATAGCGGGATGGAGAGAATATATACATAATGAGGTGATGCGATATGTTATTAAGAAAAATAAGTTTATATGGTTGATATATTGAATTGATGAAGTAAGAATAAATTAAGAATGATTTAGAACCACATAAACTTTATCAAATTTGATAAGGAATAATCTTAGTGGGACTGAACAAAAAAATGCAAAATGAGACAATTTAGTGGGACACAGGGAATATTACACGGAATATCTACAATTTTTTTATATGCAGGTACCACCAGGCTATGTTGCTTTTAATCCATCTCTTGTATGTCGCTTGCACAAATCTCTTTATGAATTGAAGCAGGCTCCTCGTTGTCGGTTTGCTAAGTTAGTTGACTTTCTTAAAGGATATGGTTTTCTTCAGTCCTATGCTGATTACTCTCTATTCACACGCAATAGGGGATGGGATCCACTCGGTTGAATGTCTTAGCTTATGTGAATGGCCTGGTCATCTCCGGCAATAATCAAGTTGCTATAGTTCATTTTGATCTTATCTTAGTGATAGTTTTCCTATGAAAGACTTGGGTCCACTCCAGTATTTTCTCGAGATCGAAGTTGCCCGCAATCCCTCAGGCGTTTTCCTCACACAGCGTAAATACACCATGAATGTACTCTGATGCGGGCCTTCTAGGAGCTAAACCTACTCTTTTCTCCTATTGAGCAAAACCATTCGCTGGCAAAAGTTCACGGACCTCCTCTATCTGATCCGAAGCCTTATCACCGCCTCCTTGGCCGGCTTATTTATCTTGCTGTTACACGTCCTGATTTGACATATTCTGTTCACATTTTGTCTCAGTTTATGCAGGCCCATGTCAAGCTTAGTGGGATGCTGCACTTCGTGTGGTCCGTTATCTGAAGGGGTCTCTTGGATAGGGCATTCTCCTTCGTGTTGATAGTGAGCTTTCTCTTACCGGATGGTGTGATTCTGATTGGGCATTCTCCTCTTTCATGGAAAACTAAAAAGCAGTCTATTGTTTCTCGTTCTTCAGTCGAAGTAGAATACCGAGCTATGGCCACCGCCACCTATGAACTTAAATGGCTCAAGGCATTACTTCTCAGTCTTGGAATTAATCATGACAAAGCTATTCTGTTGTTTTGTGATAGCCAGTCTGCCATGCTTATTCCGTGAAATCCTGTTTTTCATGAACGTATTAAACATATTGAGGTGGATTGCCATTTTATTTGTTATGCTATCAAAACGGGTCTCATTGCCCCTAGCTATGTTCCTATCACTGTCCAGCTTGCAGATATTTTTACCAAAACTCTTGGGAAGTTGGGCAAGTTGGGCATTCTAGACCCTCATGCTCCAACTTGAGGGGGGTATTATGGAAAGCTATATTGGAGTTATATTATTTACTCTATTTAGTGATATCTAATATCTTATTTTAGGCCCATATTTATTATCTTTCCTTCTTAGACTAGTCAACTGATGTGCGTTTTCTCGCACTTAAAATATGTAGCAGTATAGGGTGGGTGTAAGTACGAGTATCGTCTCCACAGGGA